CATTATGCATCGTGTCCAATACGCTTCGGGTATAGGATTGATTGCAAATGCTTTAATGTTTGACCATTCTAAAATTTTCCAAATGTCTAGCGCATTTAGAGGGAAAAGGGACTGGAATTGGTTTTGACTAAAATAATTAAACAACTATCAAAGGACAATCCAAAGTTCGACGAGGATTGGTCGCTTGTGAGTAGTTGGAAGAATAGTATTGGAAAATATGGAAATGTTTCCATATTGGATGGACCACATCGACATCATTACAAATAGAAAAGATTCTATTAAGAATGAGTTGTCATGAGGAAAATATGGAAGCGTGTCCATATTGGGAAGTAAATATTGAAAATCTATGACTAGATTAGAAACTTTTATGCAAAAGGATGTTCAAAGAAATGTACTTTGAGTGATAGACATCATATCTAAGGAATTGTCTTGTAACGATCTCCGTTAGAGAACTTTGTAATATCATTGGCAATAGTCTTTGTGACTTTGATGCAGTGACATTACGAAAGGATCGTTGCATAAAGTGTTAGAATCTGGCATATTCTATAAGTAGCGAGAATTTGATATTCTTTCACTTATGGAAAAGGATTTGGAGTTGTGAAATGAGAATGATTGGAAATGTATTCAATTTGATCTATTTCACAAAGTAAAAACCATAGGTAAACATTGTGTACATGCTAGGAGCGTGGGACAAGTGTAATAATTCAAGTAAGAAGTTGATTACCCGAAACGACAAATAATGAGTAATCGGTATGGAGATAAATAAAAGGAGTTTTATTTATACTCAAAGTTTTGAGGCCATATGGGATTAGTATTATTCTTGTGTTTCACCTTGCATGTTTTGACTTCCAGAATAATTGAGTTTATTAAGAATAATCGAATTATTCAAACAGGCCACAGTCGTTCATAAGTTGGAAGTAGATATGAATGAAGACTGTCGTGAATTGGTGTGTGGATTGTCTAGAAGAGTATTAGACATAAGCAAATGTTTGTTGCAACGTTCATGAGTGCTTATGAATATGATTTGAGCATTGGATTAAACCCACGCTCGCTTGGATCACTCCATGAATTGTATTACGAGTGATTGGTGAGACGATAACATCTTATATTCTTGAAACTGAGATGTGTGAGTTGTATCTTGCGAATCGGTTGCACATTGATAATAGGTAAACGCACTAGTAACTTGATGTTATAAAACATATTGTTGTGTGTGATTCGGTGAGTGAGTGCAAGCAAGCATTGTATCAAAGTTTATCCATTCCTTTTATTCAAAGAATAAAAGCGATATCTTTTGGGCCCCTCGATGGTTAGTGATGACATACGTAAATGCTCGTCCGGGCTAGGGCTAATTTGATTTGTTCAATTAGTCTGTCGTCATAAATCAGAAATCGAGATATAGTACAAAGAGAATGATTTGATCTCATACAATATCTAGAATGGAGGAATATATGATCCCTTATCTAAGGACACGCGTATCTGATATGATCAGAGTTGACAGCGGCTTTGGAAAGCTACGATTGCAGATCAGGATCTGAAGTCATACGTAGAATAGTTGTTAGACTTATCCAAGTGGGAGACTGTTGGATGAGTGTCTAAGTCCATAACTATTTTAGTATGTACTTGACCCGATGGTGCATGGTCCTTTTGGGTTGCCTTCACCAAAGCAACTTGATTGGAGAAATAAATAAAGAGAGAGAGGATATTATGATTTATTAATATGTTATAAGAATAATATATTAAAGGAGAAATCATATTTGTTTAATTAATATTGGTTAATAATTAATTAGGAATTAATTTTGTGATCAAATGTAATTAATTAAACTAGAGGGGCTGATTTGTAATTATGTGATAGTTACAAAATATGGTAAGGATTATCTTAAATATATGGTAAACGAATTTCAGGTGATAAGGCCTTAGAATTTGACTATGATAAGGATTCAAGGATTATCTTATGGGTTGCTTTGTGGATAAGCAACTAGATAAGGATAATGACTGAAACCCTATCTCTACACCTATATAATCACCCATTGGCTCATGAATTCGTGTATCCCTTCCCAGGAAGTCCTAAGGATGAATTCCTACCTCTCTCCTCTCTCTTTATACCTTCTCTATTTGCTCTTGATGTTTGTAAGCCATTAGAGGAGTGACACTTGTGACTCTAAGCATTCCAAAGTTAATTCAAGGAGGAATTGGGATTGTTATTGCTACATAACAATCAAGGTAACATCTTAAACCTAATTATATGTTAATATCAATTTCCATATGCTAGAATTAGGGTTTATAGTCTTGGATTCAAAGCATGTACAATAGAGAACCCTAGATCCAAGCATTAGGGTTTGTATGAGCACATAGGATGTCTTATGACCAAAACCCATCACTAGTATGATATTCAGGCGAGGTCCAATAATAGCGGGCAGGTGCCCAAGGAAGGGTTTATGTGATAGTTTATACTTGTTGTCTGTGTGATACTTGTATGTGCCTGGTAGGGAGGTGAGTGTGGGCGAGGTCCCGTATCTCACCAATAGTAGGGTGTAGATGGTGTTCCACATCTCATTAGTAGCAGATCAGGGGCGAGGCCCAAGCTAGGGAAAGAGTGAGTGTGCGCTGGGCCTGAATCTCACTACCAGTAAGGGGCATGGACGGGGTTTCATGACTTATCAGTAGTAGGACAAGGGAGAGGCCCAGGATAGACGAGACCTTAGTACAGGATCCATTAGCATATGTTTAGCTTATGTGTTGTGATATGTTTTGTGCTATTATATGTTAGCGGGCGAGACCCTGTGATAGGCGAGGCTTAAGTGAAACAAATTTGTATCCGAGCGGGGCTCAAAGCCAGGCGAGGCCTGGAGCGGCAAGGTCGTTGTAGTGAGCGAGGCCCGAGGTAGGGGGCGTGGCCCAGTATGTGCAGTTTGTGGTTATGCATGGTATGTGGTAGGTTGGGGAACTCACTAAGCTTCGTGCTTACGATTTTCAGTTTTGGTTTCAGGTACTTCCGGTAGCGGAGGGAAGAGCTCGGGGTGATTGCATGACAGACACCGTAGATTAGACAGCCTGAGAATGTTTTACTCTGATAATGAAAATATGTTTTGTAAGTAATACTCTGATTATGTTATGGATTGATAATTATGTTTTAAGTAATGTTTTATAAAAGAAATTTTTAGTCTTGAATTTTGGGACGTTACATACATCATTATTATTTTCCCATTACATTTATATTGTGAACTTCTCAAATAAACGGTAATGTAAACTATAATTTCTGGTAAATGATAGTCTGTCTTTGGGGAAAATTACACACATTTACAAACAAACAACATACAGAACATTCGGGCCGTGGTAAAAGGCTAATTTTAGTAGAAAATATAGGATTTTCTAGGAGATACAAACATTTACAAACATTTACAAATAGTTACAAACATTTACAAACATTTACATACAAACATTTACAAACTCTTTCATACAAACAATGACACTAAAATACTTACGAACTCACCAGCTTTAATGCTGATCTACGCCAGTTACAAACATTTACAAACAGTTACAAACAATTACACTAAAACACTTTCATAGTTACAAACATTTACAAACAGTTACAAACAATTACAAACATTTGTATTCTCAAGTTATCAGTAGACAAGTACCGATGCCAGGTTTCAGAGAAGATCGAGCATGTTCAAGACTCATCTCTTATTTTGATTCATATTTTTGGTGTCTTATAAACTATATAGAACATACTTGTATTAAAAATTATATTATTAATGCAATAGATGATGTTGTTGCTTGTTTACTATTCTGCATTGTAGTGATACTGTACGTAACGTCCTCCGCCCCGAAACGTTTCCGCCGTTCAGGTTTTGGGGTGTGACAGATTGGTATCAGAGCATTGTTTATAGTGAATCGAGTATATCAATCCATAAAAGATATACAAATTACAAACACAACAGGATTAAAATACTCTGACCAAGAGTTTATACTTTTAAATAATAAAATATTTAAGTAAGTATACATACCTGCATTATACTAAAATCAGTGTCACTAGGACAGAACAAAAATATTACGATTGTTGAACATTACAAGTAGGCTGGGGGATGTATGGTCAGTTCTGGGAATAACATACCCTGATCAACTATGTTGTTCCAAGAAGTTATTAGCATATGCCTAAGAATGGTGGTGAGGTTGTAACAAGTCTAAAACTTACCAACACTACTACAATGAGAACATTAGAAGATAACATAAACTTAAAATACTATAGGAATATTTTGTATTACTATAATTATTTATCAAATTCCGTTGCTAATACTCTATGTTCTTACGGGTTAGCCGCATATTCATTCTTTAAACCGTCGCTAATACAAACGGATATTTCGTATGGGTAAAATCTGTTAATCATAATGCACTATATGTTGAATTGATGCTAAACATGTGCACTTATATGTAACGCTTCCATTGACCACAACTCGAAAAAAAAATACAGATTTTAGTAGACTTGGTTTAAACTGACAAACTAATGCAGAAATATACGATATCCTTATCATTCTTTTCTTTTTGGTTTTTCCCACACGTTTTCTCTTCGACTTTAATCAGTTTTAGTGGATCAATTATTCGTATGCATGCTTTTTAAATTTTAATGGATCATAGTTCGATTTTCCATGTCTAATTGATTTAATTTGTGATCATTAATCTGGTCTGTGTGTATGGTTTCTGTCGACATGATTGACATGGTTAAGCTGGCGAATACATGTATATGTTTGTGGCTAACAAGTTAACTAACCCTTGATATAGGAGTGACCAGTTTAGATTATATATACCGGATATAGACATTGTTTCCACAAAACTGGCATATTCATATTTTTATATAGAGTTAAAACGCAACATCAATGTCTAAAAATAATATTAATGATTCAAACACCTTCTAGTGATAGTGGTTAGCAGACAACGCTGATACAATTAATATGGCCAACAGCTATCAGATCATAAATGTACTAGACTATTAAATTATTTGTATGGATGAATCGAATGACGTGGTTCCCACAAGTAAGATAGGTAGAAATGAAGGAATATCTAGGTAGACTGTGGATTACGTTAAAGAAATCACCAAAATCTGTTTTCATGGGTAGGAGATGGCGATGAAGGATTCAAGTAATCATATAACGACGATAGTAAAGAGTGTGTCTACTTAAATTAATGCTTCGATAATAGTTTCGATTAATCAATGATGCAAACAATATGGACTCACTACTCATGGAAATTTATGTACAAGACTTTGTAACGTTTAGAAGTACCTACCTAAAAGATGTGAACAAAAAACATTACTTTTTACAAAATATTTAAAATCATTAATTAGTGCTTCGATAATACTTTCAATTAATCAATGGACTCAATACTCATGGAAATTTAAGTACAAGACTTTGTAACGTTTAAAAGTACCTACCTAAAAGATGTGAACAAAACACATTAATTTTTACAAAATATTTAAAATCATTTTATCTTTGAATTCATTTTTGTGAAGAATTATTTTACAAAAAGGTCATTGCCGTGTTGCTCCGGTTAAAGGCCATCAACCAAAAGTATGGGTGGTTGTGTGATTTCTCATATAAAACCTCAATTATTATGAGATGGTTTAATGTGATATTTTTTTGTTTTCAAAAAGTACATGCATTCTTGTATGGAAACATATATATTGGAAATTACCATATTTACCAATTAGTTACCTTTATGATATATTATAATGATCAACTTTTTTATGGTCCATGAGTTCTGCCACCTATTAAATATTTGATTATTAATAAATGATAGTATATTTTTAACAAAGTATCCAATCAAAATGTAGTCTTCTTTCACCATAATGTCGAGTTCGAGGATTTTGTCATTTTTGGAACTAAGGTAAAAATTCTTCACAAGTGTAAGAGCCATTTGTATGAAATAAGTTAGGTGAGCGACCAAAGAAGCCAATAAGCAAACAAGGTAATCTTCACCACAACATATAACAAAATCCCTTCACTTTGGTTTCTCTAACTCAACAAAAAAATGGATTCCTCTCTTTTACTTCACAACATTATATCTCTCTTATTCATCTTCTTTACCATTAACTACTCTCAATCTCAAACTCCAGTTGCTAAACCGAAGCCTTCAGCCCTTTTCGTGTTTGGGGACTCCACTGTTGATGCAGGAAACAACAACTTCATAAGAACTCCTATGAAAAGCAATTTCCCACCTTATGGTAGGGATTTTATCAACCACATTCCCACCGGAAGGTTCAGTAATGGTCGCCTTGTTCCTGATTTCGTCGGTAAAAATCACTGATTCAAATGGATTTGTTTTTTTTTTTTTGTCTAAAGCTATTGATGTATTAATTTCTTTGTTTTGTTTTTCCAGCTTCATACGTCGGTGTCAAAGATAGTGTCCCAGCTTATTTGGATCCCACTCTTCGGATTGACGACCTAATGACCGGTGTTTCATTTGCATCTGCCGGTTCTGGATTTGATCCTCTTACCCCTACACTTTCCGTATCTCTCTCTCTCTCTCTCTCTCTCTCTCTCTCTCACTCTCTCTCTCTCTCTCTCTCTCGCACACACACACACACACATACATACACAAACACAGTCAAACACACATAAGCACTCAAACACACAAACACCAACATAAGCACTGCCGATATATCTATTTTTGTGTTTGTTTGTGTTCATAGAGAGACAATAATATCAGTTTTAGACACGAATATTGATTAGAGGAAGTTACATATTTCAAATGGTAACAACTTTTTTTCGATGATCAAGCTTCTACTTTGGTCACCCTTCTTTCGTATATTCATTAGAGTACATAATTTTTATAAGGAAACCTATAAAAGATTAGCACTTGCAATGGTTTTCAAAATCCTTTGTACGGGATGATCAGTGTACAGCGGAAAATTAACTATATAGTACGAGTAGCTCATAAATGTTTCTATATTTACAATTTATTGTTTCACTGAAAGTGAATAACGTAAATTGTTATTCACTAGGGTCGTTAGTAACCAGGACCTAAGAATGTTGTGAATCATTGACATGGCATCTTATGCATACGTATATGGAATAGTACTGATAGATGACTTGAAAATGACATTTTCTTATTGAAGTTATTAAAGATATGGTTTTAGATATATGCATGCATCATATAAGCTAGTTTCTTACGTTTTGGATGTGTACATTCTTGTAGGGTGCAATTTCATTGGAACAGCAGATGAAATACTTCAGAGAGTACAAATCGAAGATGGAGATGTTAATTGGGAAAGAACGAACGGTTGATATAATTAAGAGGGCCGCGTTTATGTTAAGTGCTGGAACAAATGATTTTATCGTAAATTATTATGCGTTGGGTGAACCAATATCACAGGTTTTGTATCCGAACGTTTCAAGTTATGAAAACCTTTTGTTTGAAAACATCGACCAGTTCTTGAAGGTATGATTTTATCGTGCATGCTAATCTTATTTATCACATGTTAAGTCAACTACATTGTAAGGTTCATGAAAAATTAAATACATTTTAGGCAATCAATCTCATGTTTAGAAAGAACTAATCGTTTGGTCTGAACTAAAATAAATGAAAATTTAATCTGCTGATTCTTAAATTAGATATATGTGATACAAGAAATGGACGAATGGATACTGTGATAAATGTAGGTTTATCTAATATAGAATTATTATTTGCCCATAATTTAAAATGCCATAAATGGGTACGTGTTACATTGCATGAGACAGTCAGATATACCGACTTTTCATGAGTTAAGTTGACGTTGAAATGTGGGTGAGAAACTAAATAGAAAACGTCATAACAACCTTATTAAATGAGAGTGGGACATGATTAGGTGTTATCTAATAAATTATATTTTGAAGGTACGCATTACTGTTTCCATTTTAAATTGGTTTTAGATATAATTCGATGTAAATATATAAATAAAATTTGTTATCAATATAAAGTTTGTATTTACTTTTGCCTGCCTCACATTTAGATATTGTTATCGTGATATGTCAAATAGCGTGATGTCTCACGTTGGCTTTTGTCTTCGGTATTATCTTTTTATTATGTGCAATCTTATTTCTCAATAATTAAGGAGAAGTTTATATTTTTAATTGATCTGACATGCACTCCTATCATGTGGATTTAATTACTTAATGATAAGTCACTATCCTATAATACTAGTTATAATAAGAAAGAAGAGAAAAATTAAATGCATCATGATATGGACCAATAGTACTGCATGCACTTGTCCATTTTGAATTAATTATTAATTTCACATAATCAAAAAGTTTTCCGTATACATTATGGGTCTATCAACAAAGGCTGTTGTGATATTTTACATGTTTATAAATTTAAATCTAATTAAGAGAACATAGATGATTTTTAGGAGCATGTTAGTTTGCCGGTTTATAAAAAAAAAAAAATATATATGGGGTTCATTTTTTGTTGTTACAATTTTCGGATGTATATAATTTTGAAGGAATTGATGAATGAAGGTGCTAGAAAGATAGCCATGGTAGGTTTACCCCCAATGGGTTGCCTGCCTGAAGTAATTACTTTGAACAGAAATGCTGCAATGAATGGACGAGAATGCGTAGCAACCATGTTATCGGTTGCAAAAGACTACAACGTAATTCTTCAAAACAAATTGAAAGCGATGCAAACTTCTGAAACCAAATTCTATTATGCAGACATATACACACCTCTTCTTGACATGATTCAATTTGGAAAAAGCAAACTTGGTAAGTTAATAAACTTAAAACATATTAGTGTGTTAGCATAAAGATTCCTATCCATATATGTATCTAAAGTTCGTTTTCAGGAGCAAGAGATAATGAAAACATACTAAAATGAATTTTATCCTTTGATAGGTTTTGAAGAGGTGAGTACCGGATGTTGTGGAACTGGATATATTGAAGCATCAATACTGTGCAACATGAACTCGGCTATATGTGACGATGCATCAAAATATGTGTTCTGGGACGCTGTTCACCCAACTGAAAAAGCTTATTACTATGTATTTACAACCATCCGTCCGGTGGTTGATACAGTATTGAATGACTATTAAAGTAAATTAAAATGATTTATCATTAAGCAAGATGATAGGTTTAAAGTCTAGTTCCCATTTAAATGCTTGTTAATGTGTGCTTAGTGTTATTATATGTGTATGTAATATATCCGGCCCACTCTCGATTTGCATAACATTTTGGTTTTAGCTCTATACCTTAAATTATCTAAACCATCCTATTTTGCCATAACCTATTATATTTTACCATGAGTTATCTATTATACTAAAGACATTCACTATGTATTGAACTAATTATTAGAATTTAATTTAATTGATTGACACATCATCATTTTATATTTTATATAATTTTACATTAATTTTACTACAATGCATTGAACTAAGTTTAACGGAATATATTTTTGATAATTGAAAGGTTTTATTTCTCATTGAAAAGTTCAATGATCATTGAACTCTAAAGTGTAATACATTAAATGTCAATTAGGCATTCAATCTCATTCTACTCTTCCATTGCCACTACAAGAATAATGACTAATAGTGGCAACACCATTAGCGACGACGACCAATAAACGTGTTGGATATTGCCGCTAGTCGCCGCTAATAGTGGCTGTTTGAAATGTCACAAACATGCTAAGTAAAATTTTGTTTTAATTCAACCAAAACAATTATTCATTACTTTCAAAAGAGTGATAGTTTCAAAACTATTTCCAATAACATGAGAGTGGTAACATAATCATAAGTATGAAATGCCTTTTGGATGCAATGTAATCATACCGGACTCTTCCGGTTGAAACCAAAAGTACCTCAAATATTTAAACCACAAAACCGTAAACATATATCTTAGTGAGTTCCCTAAAATACCACATACGATACATAACATAACAAGTCTATTTCAACCCCAAGAAGGTGTTATGGGCCAAATCATACTCTTAACCCTTGTCATGGGCCAAATAATGGTCTCTACTTGTGCATGTGTCAGGGAACAAATCCTGGTCTTTTATACAATTGTCATGGGTCAAACTCTAGTCTTACATGCAAATGCCGGGGGTCGAATCCTGGTCTTCCATAAAATGCCAAGGGCCAAACCCTGGTTTTCCATTCAAGTATCACAGAGACATCTAACAACCTACATAGTATAGTGAAAGAACCCACCTCGCAACATAGTCAACAACTAACCAAAGTACATAGCCAAAAAATAGGTACTGCACACCACCTACCGAATCATACAAGGTAAACCTTAGTCTTCCTTCTTAAACTAGCATTTTTACCAAAACTCAAAATTAGTCAAAAGCCAACGGTCAAAGTAAATTGCAGTTAACCTTCACTATGTGGTCATCCTTTGGCCACGTCGTGGGATCTTCTTGACAAAACAATCGCGTTCGAGCCAGCCACCACGTCATGGTAAGCATGACACGATGTTATGGCAACTAGAAAGAAACAAATAAATGGATTAAGCTTTCAATTTGCTAAGCATTAAAATGATACTTTCCAGAAGCATTCTTGGGACCTCAATGGTCTATACAAATCCAAACTTTATGGACATGCATGTCTAATGTATGTCCTTCTCTTATCTAGGTCAAAAATGGTAGAAATACGGTCAAAACGCCCATTAAGGCTTTTAACACTCACTTAACTTCTAGATCTACAAGATATTAAGCTCATGGGACCCTAGAAAGCAATAAAGTTGCTAACTTTATTCCTTTAACCACTCCAACCAAAGCCAATAACCAAAATAAGCTAAAATTACCTAGATCTATAAGGAAGAAACCAATAAGATGAGAGCTTAAGGACTTACAGAGAGTCCAGAAGATGTACACAAGCCTATGGGTAACCACTTGGAAGCTTAGGGACTTACAAAGAGTTCAACAAGATGAGAGCTTAGGTACTTACAAAGAGTACAAAAGATAAGAGCCGAGGGACTTACAAAGAGTCCAGAAGATGAGAGTTGAGGGAGTTACAAAGTGTCCACTTGGGAGGAAAGGCCAACCTTTCCTTGAGAAGCAAGAAGCTCATAGCCTATGGGTAATCTTATCAGAAGACTTCCTTCTTCTTCTTCTACCACGAATAACTAAACCTAAACGAACAACTTATATCCACTTATGTTACACCTTCTTGTTCCTTGATGTAGAGACCAAAAGTCAAACTTCACTTCGCACTTTCGTCTTATGAGTCAGATTTCGCCCAATCTGGTTCGACCCAATATATGTCGCTACTTGTCACTAATCAATGCCCAAGCTGCCTTTGTGTATGCAATTTGTAGCTTATTTAGACTTTGAAAAAACTCATGTTTGTCACATCCAATGACCTTTGACATTCCCATGGTATTACTACTACTTGTGCATAATACAAGTGATCTTCACATAACACGACCAAAACATGATAATATCGTGACAAGCACAATGTTGTCCTGAGATGTACTAACTTAACACTAGCAACAACATAAACTTAACATTCAATCTTTATTATAATTTATCATCATATATTTATTACATAAGGTTTTAGCTAAAGTCTAAACTAACTATTAATCTCTCTAATGTGATCACATTGAAGCTTGGGCTTTTCCTTGATCAGAAGAACAACCAGCCATGACCTGAACAACTAGCCATGACCTGCGGTGCTTCCCTTGCTTCCTCTACCATGAGTTGAAAGGCTCGCCCTTTGGCCCTGAGAGATTCAACTCTGCCCTAATGTACATCGGTTATTCTTAAAGTTGCAGGTGCTGGAGCTTGTATTGTGCCTATTGGATTCATAAGAGGACAATTAGCCCTGATGCCATCCATGTGATTATAGTGGAAACAGTTACACACTCCCCATGCTTCCTGTTTATAGTCTTAACTAAAATGTCCCTTTTTTCCGCACTTGTAGAATATCACATCATAACAATCTCCCTGATGTAATTTTCCACACTTGTTACACCAAGGCCCTTTCTGTTCCCTAGACTTTGACTGGTCATGCTTGAGTCTTTTGGTTGTTGGCTAGGATGGGGTTGGAGTCTTCCTCTTTTCCTTTTGTTGAGTTTCCAACTAAATTTCCTTTCTCCTTGCATTTTCTATCATCTCTGCTAAGGTCTTGTATATATATTGTTCGATACTAACTCCCTGGTATGAATTTTGAGCTTACTATCGAGCCATCTGTACTTGCTCCGATTCTAGGAAAAAAAGGCTATCTTAGTGAACATCTTGGTGATCTCAGCTACCAATTTAGCGGTCTTTTTGAGTGAGACGTATTCTTAAGCGAGCCTGTCCCTCTCTACTGGTGGAACATACTCTGCCTTGAACTTCTCAACAAACTATTCCCAAGTTACTGCATTCTTCTTAGGAGATGAATAATTTTAGTGACAAAGTTAAACTAGCCTTTTGCTCCTAAACGTAGAATATTTTGTATGTATCTAGACTTCACGTTTTCCGGACAAGCACAATTGTAAAAGTATCCTTCTACATCCGAGATCAACCTCACGGAAATAACTATATCTCTAAGACCATCAAACACGGGAGCTTTGGAGTTGTTGAAATCTCGATACGGCATTTCCTTTTCTCCAAACGAGGTTGCAGTAGCAACAACAATAGTGGCTGAAAAGACAACAATACTAGCAACAGTAGAGTATCGTTCATCGAACAAGGCTATCAATTAAGTGTTAGTAGTTCTTGACATTTTTGGAATCGTCTATCTTACAGTCACTGTCACACCCCCAAACCGGAGCGGCAGAATTGTCTTGGTGTGGATGACATCATGTGAAGTATCACATCACATACATCATAGTAATCAAAGTACAACAGCCATTGCATTAATAATGTATAAGTTTTACATAAGTGTTCAAGTCATTGTATATATGACATCAAAAGTTATATATATATATATATATATATATATATATATATATATATATATATATATATATATATATATATATATATATATATATAGCAAAAGATAGAAGACATGAATTTATACTGCTCCATCTTCTCAAAAATCTTAGGAAAGTACTTGTTTACTGGTTCCCTGAGAATACAAGTATTTTGAAAAATAGAGTATCAATATTTAAGTTAGTGAGTCATAAGTATTTATATTTAGAAGCTTGTTTTTTGTTTCTTGAAATAGTAATCATGTTTATTGTTCAAGAAAATCCAATATTTTCTAATATAACTAAAAATTAGTTTTAATACAATAAATTTGTTCCGTGTAATTGTTTTTATACTATAAAATAGTGTAAGATAGTTTTAGTTTACAATAGATCTATAAAAAGAATGTTTTTATATTGTTATGTTCTCTTTGTTGTAAATCGGTACGTTGTATTTGTACCACGTTAGTGTAAACCCGATATGTTGTATCTGTAGCCTGTTAGTATAGACCTGGTACATTGTATTTGTAGCCCTTCTAGTATAAACCTGGTATGTTGTATTTGTACCCTGTTTAGTATAAACCCGGTACATTGTATTTGTACCCCATTAGTATAAACCCGGTACGTTGTATTTGTACCCCGTTTAGTAAAAACTCGTTATGTTGTATTTGTACCCCGTTTAGTATAAACCTGTTATGTTGTATTTGTACCCCGTTTATTGTAAAGTAATTTGTACAAGAGTATATAGTTAAACCTTGTATACTTGACTAGTGAAAATAGAGTGAGAGTTCCATAAATTATACCTATTATAATTTATATTTGTATTCTGTTTGATATGGTTTGTTCGTGAAAGTACCCCCTTTGCTCGGCATGTTACAAAGGGTAATGAAACTGATTGAAGTACTTATATATATATATATATATATATATATATATATTTATAAAACTTATACAATTAAAACTGAAACGACATTCAGACAAATGATGTTACCTTAAGCCCACATCCAAACAAGGAAAAAGAAATAAATAGAATTATTAGTCCTAAGCCCTTTAAATCTTATTTCTATATATATATATATATATATATATATATATATATATATATATATATATATATATATATATATATATATATATATATATATATATATATATATATATATATAATTTTTAGCAAAATATCAGTAAAAAAGAGTAGATTAGACATTTAAAGGCGTTTTAGAAATATTTAGAAATCATTTATTTGTAAACACAATATTCTTGTGTTAGAATTGTATCCCCCCCCCCCCCCAAACATTGAAAAATAGAAAAGACGCAGGGGTATGAACTTACCTTGTGTGTTAGTTCCTGGTTGATTACAATGTGGTTGTGACGATCCTTTGCTTAGACC